GCTTGACGCACTTGAACCTGGCTTGAATGTGCCACACGTTTTACCCCACATGACCCGCTTGATGCACATCGCACACTTGGGCCAGTTGAACCCTACACCCTAGGACCTAAATCCGAAACCAAGTGTGCCAAGTGTGTCAAGTGGTCAACCGTTTGACAGCAGTTAGCATTATGCACCTTATCCATTGTGTGGTTCGATTTAGCCGTGCCCGAATCCAAGGCCAATGTACCATTGTCAATATTTAGGAATAAAAAAGCGCAATAACAACGATTAGCAGAATTGAACTAGTGGTATTGGTAATGGTAGCAGCAGTCAGCCGATTACTGGCGTTCTGATGTTGGGACAAGTTTCATGCAATCTCTGCCAGACTTGGGGTTCCTAAATGACTCGTCGTAAGGACGTGTCCAGCGACAAATCATCATGATTTCGGGGATTCTACACCAGCCGCATGTTAAACTTAAACCAGTGATCTCTCAACAGCCTTCGAAGTTCAAAAGCTTTACAGGCTCGATGCATGCGGCAGGTGCCAAAGCCAAGATACCGCTCCGAATCCCCAAACGTACAAAGGTACATGACGCCTTGGCCACCTGAGCCAGTATGCTCCTGCTCATCACTTCATGTAATGTACTATCGCATATACTGCTGTAGCGGCACCAAGCATTCACTTCAAAGCTGGCCGGATAAAAGTTGTTGAGCTGAGCTGCCGCGGCCAAGCTCCTCACACAAAGGGCCAGTGCATCGGGCAGCCGGGGTACAAAAAATGCTCAAACGGCCACATAATAATAACAATACATAGGTAGGAATAGCAACCATCATTATTACTATTTAAACATAATTAACTAAAACGGGTAATAACAACATGCTTAATTAACTTGTGACGGAACAGCTTGCAGTTCTCACATGCTGTACAAGAGGCCCCGACAAATAAGCGAACTGTTTGATACCCGTCCCGGTCAACCGTGTAGCCGGCTTCGCGCAAGCCCCTGTAGGGCACGTCGCCGGCCAGCTTCGTGCCACCCCACTCCTGCAAGCCGCGGAAGAGCTGAACTTCGCTCATGGCACGGCGGGAAGTGATCGCTGGCACAGACCCCGGAAGATGCAAGTCCTTTCTTTTCTGCCTGAGGATGGTCCTGCATTCAGTCGTTCCCTCAACAATCAGGACTGGACTGTTCGACAGCTGAACGTCGACTTCGGAGACTGAAAAACAGGAGGCAACACGACTGCACGACCTGTTTAAGCAGCTGGGCATTGGCGAGATCTGTCAGAATCATCAGTCTATCAGTGCTTCAGTGCTTGTTTCCGTGTTACATGCATTCAGCAAGCACGCTGCCAGCCAGCCTGAACATTGCTGTGCATTGCTTCTTATTCAGCCTCAGTGCTGGCAGTGTTTCAGCCGAGCTACAAAGCCAAATCTCTCTTTTCTGTGCAAACCTCTCTTTTTGTGCAGGAGCCCGTTGGTGAGGCACTGCCTCTCTCTTCTTAGATTCCTTGAAGGGGCACAGGGTCACGGCCTGCTTAGATACCAATCCTTCTGGCCTCACTATCTGGTGTAGTCTACTGGCCATGCAAGTCAGGAAGTCTCCGGTGTAGCAGCGGCCAGTGCTAGCCTTGCATGGCAGGTAGGCGCCTGTTTCTGTGTGTCTGACCTCTTCCACTTTTTCTCTGCTGCACTTGCCGCACTCCCCAAGATCTCCCTCTCCGCTTGAGATATGTTTGCGGACTTCTCCTGTTCCTTTTATATATGAATGTGGTCCAAGCCCCGGGGACTGGCTTGCAAGCACCTCCTGCGAAGAACCAAGCTCAGGGGCAGTCTTTCCATCTGGGTCCCATGCTCTCACAAGTGGGGAGGCATGGGTGCAGTCGGAGACGACCATGCTGAAGCAAAACAACTCGGCAAAGGAGCATGATGCAACACATTGACTTGTTTGATGACCCTTGAGCCCCGAAGCCCGGAAAGAATAGTTGGTGCGGGCTTTCATGACCGCATCGTACAGTGTACCATGCCGCAGCGTACACCATTGTACACCCACTCGGCTCTGCTTCCCGCGAGGACAAGAGCTGCTACCAGTCAGAAATTAAGAAAGGTGCCGCCGGAGCACGCGCCGCCTCCGTCAAAGTCGAAGCGCTGGCAAATCTGATAGACCTACAGCTGCATGGATGAGCCGCGCTTTGGCGTCTCCAAGATGTCTGCTGGCTACAGCCAATGCAAATCGCGCTCGGTAAGTACCGAGAGCAATGCAAAGCAAGCTCAGGAGTCGCCTGGCTGAATGCTGCATCTGGGACTTCCAAGTAGCGTGCTACCTGACGCGGCAAATCGGAAGTTGGGTCACTCTTAGGACATCCACTGCCCGTCTGCTACAATACGAAGGCGCCGTGCCACAGACTTATACCACGCTTCGCCCAAGCATTCCGGATTTCATCAATTGCTGTAATTAGAGCCTATAGGCAAGCCTCATGGAATGTGCAGTGGGCTTTCGGGAAGGAGGGCTCTGAAGTGCCCAACCTCCGGCGCCATCTGGACAACCTGTGCCGGTGTGACTGCCTTGCTGCCTGAGCCAGAAACCGTTTCCAAATCGCATGTTCAAGCTGACTGAATCCGCACGGACAGTGAGTCCCACAAATGACCATCTGGGCAAGGAGCACATCTCAAGAAACAAGCCATCGGCAACAAGTTCTGAAGCATGCTTCCGGCTGTGTCGCAGACCGTCACTTGTTTCTGCTCTTGCATACTGGCGGAAGTACTTGTGGATGGCATGGTTGGTACGCCTCATTACTGCCAGCGGCTAGCGCAAGAATAACCGGCAGCGGCAGGGGACGTCGAGTTCTTCCGCAAGAGGTCGTGGATTCTAAGGTGCACCGGCTTGGCGGCTACAACATGGTTAGTTACGAGCCACATGGGCCTGCGATGCTGGCTGCTACAGTAGTGGCCATTTCAGATTTTCAGCCTCGTGTTGTGGGCTTTGCTGGCAGGGAGCTGAGCCTTCAGATTCTAGTGACTTTAGTGGGTCACAACCAAAGAGACGAGCAGCTATAGAACCCCGGTGACCTGACCGCTCTGCATAGTTCTGCATAGATCTGCGCTAGGTCCGGTATTCCAAGCTGGGCTCAAGAAAGGGTCCCGGCAAGTACGACAGCTTTCGCAGGCGCTTGTCGAGCGCCTTCACCTTGTGGAATTAAATTAACACCAACCCAGTGCAGATCACGGCCTAAGTTGCGAGGAAAGGGCTTTGCCGTTCGTAATGACGACACTTTGGTGCCAAAGCGAAAGCATTTCCTCAGGCTTTGAACCAGGCTCAATTCTGAGGAACTGGCAGCCAACTCCTTCTCCCAGGCGGACAGCTCTTCACTGTCCTCGCCAAATTGGCGGTCTCCGTTCTACTCCAATCGACTTTTGCGCTGCAGAATGCCAGAAGCGATGCCTCTGAAGCTCTGCATCATCAAGCAGTCAGGCACTGAATGTCGAACCCGGTTCAAGATAGGTACCTGCAGCATCCTGCAGCCTCACGAGAGAATCGCTTTTCGGGTTCGTCGGCCAAAGCCTCCCCTTCCAGAGATGTGTCAAGCTCCATGTTTGTGCCGGCACCTAATTGACCGGTCCATGACATCATGAACGGCCGCCTGGGGCGAAACAGTGGTGAGAAATCGGAGAGCCACGAGTCCTGCCCGGCAGATCCTCCGCATGAAGTCTTGCCATGTTAGTACCAGTTGCTGCACCTGTCAAAACACTGAATGGGAAGGGCAACCTCCGATCCGCGTCGTATGCTTTTGGCAGGGTTCCGTGCCGTCGGGTCCGGGACAGTCATGTTGTTCGGTGCAATGTCAGAACAGTTCGGGCAGCAGGCAGCCCACATCGGTCTAGAGGTCCTCGGTGTCTTCCTGTGGGCTGCCGTCGCTGTCGCTGCCGGCCTTCTCTTCATCGCTGGTCTCGTAGCCTGCCACTCACTAGCGAAGCTTGGGTGTTGGAATTCCAACTGCTCCCCATTGGCTTGGCAACTCTTCTGGGATGCCGGCCGCAAGACAGCATCGAAGCCGGCCGGATAACCAGAAGTCTACAATGCTCTGCTCGGCATCTTAACGTACACCTCAGCAGAGCCAAGCCATAGTTACTGTAGCCGTATCGTGCCTAGGAGCCGGTCTGCTGAGATAATTGGCGGGCTCCGATGAACTCGCCAAAAGTTCAGCGTTTGTCCTCGGGTTCCTGCCTGTTCCTGCCTCGGGCCATTTTCACCTATTCCTGTGGTGTCAGGTGAAAGCTGCCGAGCCAAGACAGGTGCCAAAGCGATCAGCGACGATGTCGCGGGAAAGTTGTCTCACTGAGTACACTGCCAGCAGCAGAATTCCCCTCGAGCCCAGCATGCATGCGGAACATCTCAGTGCCAGCAGGAGGACATTGACTTGGAATGAACAATCTCATCGAGCGATCCGAAAAGGAAAAACAGGTGCTGGTCTTCCTGGAGAGGCCAGGCCGGTACAGTCCAAACCACCACTTTACCGCGCACATCATAACGCACCCAGGAACAAATGCACATCCTCAATGAGCATCAACCCGACCGACGGAGTTCAGCCCCGCTCAGCCCAAAGGCAGTCACTGCATGCGTTGCACATTTGCTGCATTCTGGTACCAGGAGCTTTGACTGCTAGAGGGTCCGAGCAGTAACTCGGTAACCTATCTCGCGAACAATTTTCCAGCGAGGGCAATCGGCTGTCTGGTGCGCTACTCTCGACACGTCGTCTGACAACACCCAACGAGGATAGCTCCGCGATTTGGGGCTAGTGCACCGTAGGCCCAGGCTCCCCTCGTGCTGAACACCGGGTCCGGAAGCAAAGGCGGCCTGTCCTACACAACATGCAAGCATGAACACGCAGCCCACAATCCACACGACAGTTCTTCTAGTGCTCTTCCGTAATGCCGACTACACCGGGACTCGAGGAGGGCCTAAAACTAAAGTTATCTGCGGCAGCCGCTTTGCAGCCACCGCAGAACACCGCAAGAAGCTCTCTCAGACTTTTTCTGTGATGGCCATGCAGTGATGCTTCGAAGCCTCAGCAGAAAGTCTCGGCTGCATTGTGGATTTCTGTCTAAAAAACGGTTGTGCAACTGCACCATTTCAGGTTCGACATGCATGCGAGATTCGGGCGCAACTCGATTTAGTTTGCTGCGGCCTCATGCTTAGGTGCGCTGGCACTCTCCTGTTCCGTTTCCGCGCCAGTCCTTGACTATCTTTGACTCCTGCTGCCAGATTGGTAGGTGAAACATCGGACGACACCTCTGCCTCAGGCATGATTTAGCTGGTTTCATTCAGCGGCTATCATCACAAACTGAACCAGCTACGGATACCGATTTCAACTGGTCCCGCAGAACAGGCTAGACACCCAGAAACACTCGGTGAAGGCAGACATGCACGCGCTTCGGCAAGGCTTCACTCACTCTACTTCCTCGAGGTGGGCCACAGGGCTGTTGAGGTCCGCGGCGCCGTTGAGGTCCGTAATCAACCAGCCTCTTAAATGGGCCGGGGACAATGAAGTGATGGCAACACACAACACACAGGTCTACGCCAATGCAAATCACGATATCCAAACCCGCTTGTGAATCATGTCGATTATTCATAGAAGTTGACCACGACTCAACGCAATTCCACCCTGGCACCAGACTTGAACGCTTACTCTCGAACTCGCTGCCTCGCTCCTCATCGAAGATCGGCCTAAGGGACGGCTTATGGACGAGGGTCCAAGAGTAGCAGGGAGACGCTGACCGACATGAGTAGTTACTTGAGTACTTGGAGGCAGAAAGGGATGATGTAACCGGAGTTAGAGCTTCAGTCCTTCAGAAGGCCGTGCCAAAACCCTCTGCTGCACGTTCTGTCGACACGAACGTCTCTTCTACACATCTGGTAGATTGATAGATGCTGTGTTCAGATCAGTCGCGGAATTTCTCTGTCGTCTCCCTGCGCCGCGGTCCATTCCGCCTGCCAGGCCATGACGACCAGAATCGACTAGCAATTTAACAGGCGTCTCTTGCAGCAATATTGGACGTGAGCAATTCTACTCCCAGCCGGAAACTCTCGGAAGCAGGTCTTGACGCAGTCGGGGCTTCAACCCTGAAGCAGCTGTTGAAAACACCGAAGAACCGGAGGAAGTCCCACAAAACCCCTCGCAAGCCCGACTGGCACAATATTGACCAAGTCACTTCAAGCCGAAGTCGGTGATCCACTGTCGACTCCTGTCTTGTGTACTTCGCTCTGAAGCAGCACAGTATATGCAAGGGAAATCTGCATTAAACGCTTGCTCCGCAGTGCTTGCATTTCGCTATTCACTTGGTGACTTCGAAGCCTCATGCGAGCCCATGAAGCTTGAACTACTTTCTTCGTGATGTCTGTGTGTCTCGTAAGGACTCCCTGGCTTCATGAACGATCCTTGTGAGCACGATCGTGCTGTGTCCATCGAGCACATGAAACTGCAGGGAAAAATAAAGAAGGAAATGGCACGCTGGTGCGCGCGTTCGTATGGTCGGCTGTGATGAAGAACTACTGTGAGCCCTTGACCTCATGTAGCTTGATCTCCTGGGTCTCCACACAGCGCAGTTCCAACACCTCATGTTGCAGCTACGGGAACTAGCTGTAGCATCCCTGCGCTCTCAGAAGGCCGGGATTTGCTCGAATGAATCTTGTGACAGCCAGCTCGGGCATCCAACATCCCAAGCTCTGAAAATTTTCAAATTTCATCAAATCGGTTCAAGGAGACACACATTTCAGTTAAGGCAACGTACCTGCTCGCAAGTGAGGACGAAGTCCGCACAAACAGTGCCGCCTGGCAGGGATGCAAGGGTGTTTGTCTGAAGCGGTCCTGCGGTTTGATGACAAGTTAGATCAGGTTACAAGCTCTGTACTAGACCCTGAAGCCAGGTCGGCATGTTGAGATTTGTTACTCTTCCGTTTTACATTACATCGCGCTACAGTGCAAGGCGTGGCCCAAATTTTCCCATATATCGCACAGAGAGCATAAAGACACGTGACACGGCTTACTCGCCGATTGAACTCCTCTATGCTGGCTGAAAACATGGAGCAATTGATGCACTGCTTTGACCTCGTTGGGGTCTGCCGCGACAGAAAGCTCTCAGCCGCATCCCCAAGCAGCCTTCGAGCGCAGCCTGGGCCACTTCCCATGGACCAGCAGGAGTCGGTTCTTTCGAAACCTGTCCAGAGGAACACGCACGAGCTCTGCGATCAGCCATGGAGACGGCGGACAAATTTCATGTGTGGATTCAGTGTGATGCCAACATGGACTTCGGTAAGCACTCTGCATGTCAAGTTGTCAATGTAACTCATTCTTCAGCCCAGCATCCACGTAGTGGCCAGAGACCTGCTTGCGATACAGGCCCGTTGTGCGGCTGCCTCAGGGCTGTGCAACAAAAAATCAATGTCACGGGCAAGAAGCCCGTAAATTTTACATGACTTCTGCCTAAATGAGCAATGCGGTAATGTAGAGAAACATGCTGAATGCTAATGTTGTAGTTGCTGTGGATTTTTAATTTACCGTTTCTATTGCTGTAGATGCTGCTGTAGCTTCGAAGTCAGGGAGCAGTTGTGTGCTCCAAGAAAGTGTCGGAAGACCCCGAAGGCTTTGGAAGGCCTGTCTTTGCTCATCCAACACTTGCAGCTGTCATGAGATTTTCCGTTAGCCTCGGCCCTTGCTGGAAACTCGTGTGCAGCGTGCAGCTGTACGCTGCTTCTGGCTCTTAGCGTTATCATTCATAGTGGACCCTGTTATGGCCTGTCGAACGACGCATGCCATAGATGAGGAGGAAGTTCCGCAAATCGACTGAAGAGACATCCAGCTTCCAAGCCAGCTCCTTACTTGCAGAAGAAACCGGAGCAGCCCCGAACAAACAAAAAGCAAGCAGCAATCCAACATATGGCGCTTGCCGGGTGGCGAGCTTCGCCTCGTCCAGTCCAGACATCGCCTCGCTGAAAACCTCCCGAAGCTTCGCCTGTTCGAAATTTTTAAAAGAACTCAGGGACGCCGAGGCGAGGCTGCGCTCATCTGCAATTCAGTCTGTGGACAGTGCTTCTTCAGAAGCACTGAAGCCATTTAGAGTGATCAACAAGCCTATCAGCCTGCCGAACACAATGGAATGAAGCTGAGACATATCTGGTGACTTCGCGCCTCGACCATTGGGCTTTGGGCCGCATTCCGGCTCTCACTCAGATGCCTCATGCATAGCCGCGGGCGGGAGACAACACGCAGGTTGCAGTCACCAAGCCCCGCCTTATGGCTGCTTCTGCCCCTTGTGTGGCATCACCTCACCAGGCAGGCTTTCAGGAGAAGCTGCTGCATCAAAGCTTAGGCTTAGACTGTGTTATCCAAAACAGCCATGAATTAGCCGTTCGGTGGCCTTGCCTGCAAATGTGGAAAGTGCTGTTCAGAGTCAGGCTCTGGGTAGGAAGGTGCCAAGGGCGTTTGACCAACAGTAGCTAGCATCTGGTAAGATCTTCAAACTTAAGACACCGCTTCTTCCACAACCCGACGCGGGTCCAGCATTCTGCCCTGCATCGGGCTTTTAGCGTCAAGCCTGCTTCGGTCGATTCGAGATCAGGGTTGCCGATGCCTTAAAGATGCAAGTGTCAGCTACTGTAGCCACGTAGTCCTTGGTAAACGTGTCTCACCCGCAAGAGATTCTGATTCTTCAGCATTCAGCACCATGCAAAACGCACCCGAGCTGCTAGCAAATGAATAAAGCCGAGACTCTCTGCCAGTAGTTCCGCGGGAATCCGACTGCCTCGCAGCCAAAACGAGTCGAAGGGTATGGAAAACGTCGGCAGAAGTCAGGACAAGCGACAAGACCCCGAACGACATGTTGCAGTATTTGCGCATGACTGCGATATGGCCAACTGACAGTCTACAAGTGATGCAGGCCAAACAGGCATAAACCACCCACCTGCAAAAGCCACGTGGATAGCCATTTCTGCATACTCTCGCTGACTGCTTCTCGAAATGGTGGCCTTGTGTTCCAAGCAGAATGCAGTTGAGCTGCACCAAGGCCAACCGCATATACTCTGCACACTCTGGACCCACTCCAATATCACACGCTCAACCGATGCTGGTAAGTCATGCATTCGCGGCAGTCATGATACAATCGATGATTCCCAGAGGCTCCCACGACAACAGCCGGATTTCGCAACGTGCACGCCTTGCTCTCATGAACTTTCTTGGCTTTGTCACGCTTGTCAACGTCCTGCCCTTAAAGAGGTTTGCAATTTAGTGCTCGTGCTTCTTAACCGTGCAGTGCAAGTCTGTTAATGCCGCGAAGGCAGTCGAAACCTTCCCAGCACATCCAGACATGCATCCCGCGTTCTGCTTGCAGTGCTGCCAACTGCATTTCCAATTGCCAAGTTACGTTGGCGAAGGCGCCCTTGAGCGCAAGGCTGTCAGTAGCGGTTGCAGTGTTCGGGGCAGAGCGACCTGCAGCACCAGTCGGTCAGTGGTGACTCACTGCAAGGCCCACAACTTCGGCCTTGGCCTGGTTACAGAAGCATCTTCGGAACACGAAGCTGATGTTTAAGCTTAAGCACCAGCCTGTGCAACAAGAAAGCAATCAATCATCGCACAGGCCTTGGCGGTAGCTGCCTGCATGCCGCTGCTCACGGGCCACGGTGCTTGCCACTATCGGTCCCACAACGTCTTGTGGCCCCGAAACACTGGATGTGGGCGGAGTAACTCCAGCAGTTGCAAGTTTGGCTAAGCTGAGAGTTCACCCGATGTGCCATATATTCAAGGATCTTTTATAGGTTGTCATACTTGTCTGTTTTGCCGCAGGGTTGGAAATTTTGTGCTTTTCCCAACGAAACATGTCTGCTTCCAAACAAGTCAACCGACGACTTGGAGCCAAAGAAATGACGTGCCACAGCGCAAAGAACAAGCAAACCCAGGGTTCGACATGCAGCATGCCTGAGAGCCAGTCTTCCTAACTGTGCTTGCCCCTTTGCCATGCTGATGCGGTCAACGTCATGCATATAGAGTACGTAATATTGATGATGATTTTGTAAACATACCACAAGTACATGATGTACACAAGCACCTCGAGTTGGTACACACCTGTTGCACAGCTACGGCTTCTCGTTCTCCATTTTGTAGTCAGCTGAGCTTTGGGCAATGATGTCCACCACTCGCTGGTTTCCGAACTTTTCGGGCCTCGGGGCACGCTGACTGAGAGCTTCGAAGTTTAGATCCCTGAAGATATCTGAAGACTCTGTGCCTGGTGAGAATTCAACTTGCTGCGAAATCGTACCGACGATATTTCGGAAGACCTGCTGCTGTGTTATCAGAACTCATGGTCCTCTCCGAAAGCGTCAACTTAGAGGATCTACAGTATTCGATCACCCACACACCTCTCTCTCTCTCTCTCTCTCACACACACCGAGCTCTACTTCGCGATGCGAAGCCTGCTGAGGCTGAGACGGAATCTGTACCGGCCTCTTGACCCACTCCTCACCTCGCTGACTCGAAATCTGAAGTGCGCAGAAAGAGGGCCTTCGGGTTGAGCTACAGCGCCAAGCTCCCTGCACGAGTCGCCCAGTGCCAGGCAGCCACTGGACCTGCAGTTCAACAAAGGGTCCTCTGCAAAGCGAAGTGTTTCACTGCAGACTGCGGGCATGCGGACAGCTGAAGGCCCCATGCCAGCCGCGTCTGACATTGCCACCCTTCTCTAATTATTCAGGAGTGCAGGTGACAGTGTGTCATGAGCAGATAGCTGTCCAGTATTTGGCCGTGGCATATACTCCTGATTCGATGGTTGCATATCTAAGTTAGCAACACGAACGGGGCCCGCAGCAACTGAGTCTGAGTTCAGCACTTGCGCCCCCAGCTGTAGAGCGAGCCGTCCATCGATAAAGCGAAGGAGCAGCTGCCAGCAGGGGGAATAAACAAATCGTAGAAAAAGCTTAGGACTGCCTACTCGATTTCACGACTGATTCGCAGGTCCGCCCGTTCGACGATTTCTGCAGACACCGACCACGGCGAGAGTCGACACGGACAAGTTTGGATCCCAAGGGCTCAGCTGGACTCGCTGCCAATTCTTCGCCGTCGACGATGACGACCGCTGAGTTGACCCGACGAGCTACGCCTACTACGCAGGAGTCTTTTGTTGAAGATCGAGTACATGATGTCTTGCAAGACTCCTCGACTGGAGATATGTAGAAAGTGCGATATAGCAGCCGGACAAGTCACAGTCGGCATCCTGCGCCTTGCGTGCTTCGCAGAGCTCAGCATGGAACAGCTGGGCACGCACTGCAATGCCCACCCAATTTAGAGCCCCTTGTCAGAATGCCAAGCTGCCCTTGCCTCTCGCCGGCCGCTACCTTCCAGATGCCCTTGAGGCCTTCCTGAGCCCAACAGACCGGCTCAGACACAGTGCGCGCAAACCGTCTCACACGACCGTGACATCGGGCCTGGTAACGACTCGGCAATGTGATAGCCGTAGGTTCAAAGTGGTGACGGTCCCCCCACCTGAGACTACATGTGACTACATCGCTAAATCCACCGGCAGCACTTGCCCATGCGAGATTGCTCGGATGACCGGCCTGCAGATTGGTACATCATCGTCAATCGTGTTTCCCCAAGCTTACGGTGGCAAGTAAATCTATCGCTCGGTTGTGCGCTCGTAAATGGCACCCGCGCTGGTCAGTGCCACGATGTGGTGGTCACCACAGGCCTAGTCCAGCACAAGAGAGTTTTCAGGGCTTGCCAGCAGGTTGGGATGTGCGGCTAATCCAGTCCACTTTATGGTGCCAAAAATCCGCATTGCTGGTGAAAAACCGTTGCAGAAGTCACGTTATGCCATGCAAGCAGCAACAGGGGAAGCAAGGGGAAACCAAGCAAACCTTCCCTATCTTGAGGCGTGTCTGTAAGGCTGCCGCGAAGTCTCGTAGAGCATGGCCCTCCATGGGCATGTTCCGCAACTGTCGAGCAGCACGCTCGGTCACAAGCAAAATGTCTGACCCGCAAACACGATCAGGTACTTACGCAGCATTCGCAACTGCTGGAATGTCTTTGTCTGTCTGCTTTCAGGCTGGGACCTTAAGTTGTGGTCATGTGCCACTGTCATCCATGCCCGACACGTTGATTTTTCGATTGGCACAGACAGGCAAACGGGCTGACGGACGGAACGACCCAGAGTCATTGACCATTTGCGAGGGTCCAGAAATACAGGGCTTAGATCCCCAAGGCTTTTTCGTCAGTCTGTTTGCAAACAACAAGCGCTTTTTGACGTTTCGTTCTATTTAAATTGTTCTATTGTTTAAAACGTTTTAATTAAACGTTGTTAAAAGCTGTGGAAAAGTTTTCAATGTTTTTTAAGAAGCCTTAAAAACTTTAAAAGTTTTAAAAATATATTCAACTTCTTTGTTACAAAAACAAGAAGCTCGATGATGTACAGGATGAAGAAGACCTGGCACAGGGTGTTGT